CATCATTGGAGTGACAGCCGGTTTGCAATCCATTAATCCAGTTTCAACTAAAAGATCAAGGATATACTTCTTTTGGCAAATAAAGATCCCCTCTTGAGATTTGAGAACTTCAATGCCAAGGAAAAAGTTAAGTTCTCCAAGATCCTTCATGTCGAATTCCTGGAATAGCTTGCCTTTTAGTGTAGCCATCTCTTCTATGTCACTGCCAGTAATTATCATGTCATCCACATAGATAATCAAACATCTTATGAGTTTGCCTCGCCTTTTTAGAAACAAGGTATGATCAGAGTTGCTTTGACGATATCCATATTTCTTCATGGCTATCGTGAATCTGCCAAAACCATGCACGTGGAGATTGTTTTAGACCATACAAAGCTTTTCTCAATCTACAACCTTCGCCTTTTTTGAAATCTGATGAGAACCCAGGTGGTGCTTCCATGTAAACCTCATCTTTTAGTTCTCCATGGAGAAAAACATTCTTCACATCAAACTGATATAAGGGCCAATCTAGATTAGCTGCTACAGAGAATAATACTCGGATAGTATCAATTTTGGCTACCGGTGAGAAAGTCTCAGAGTAGTCAATACCATAAGTTTGAGTATATCCTTTAGCTACTAATCTAGCCTTATATCTCTCGATTGTACCATCTGCCTAGTGTTTGACTGTAAATACCCATCGGCATCCGACAGGTTTCTTTCCTGAGCAGAGTTGACATTTCTCCCATGTGTTGTTTTTCTCTAGCGCCTCCATCTCCTCCTCCATTGCTTTTCCCCATTCTGGTATTTGTATGGCTTCGTCTACTGTTCTAGGAACTTCATGGGTGGATGTGTGAAACGCCTGTGACACACTCCCCCTGACCAGATCAGCAACAGGATATCTTGAATTCTGAGGGATGTATTCTGGTTCATACCTGACAGGAGGAATTCCCCGATTCTTCCGTGGTGGGAGAACATATCTGTTTGATATATTCAATTCTTCCACGGTATCATTAGATTTATCAATGCAATCATCAGGAGTGGGGGAAGTACTAACCTCAGGAGTTTTGTCAGACGGAGTAGAATCAGACATGAGTTCAGAGTTGTTGGACTGTTCAATGTTCTCAGAAGATGATCTCACGGAGTGACTTACTTCCTCGGTTGGGACAGTTTCAGGCGGCAAGACTGTGTTGTGTAACCACTCTAGAGAGTCATTCGTAATTTTCTCCCCCTGACTACTAGAGTGGTTTTGGAAATAGTACTCAGTTTCCAAAAAATTACAATCCATTGTCGTGTACATCCGACGAGAAATAGGATCATAACATCTGTATCCCTTTTTGTGAACCCCATACCCAACAAAGACACATCGGACAGCACAAGGATCAAATTTTGTTCGTTTGGCTTTTGGAATATGTACATATACAGTGCAACCAAACACACGAGGAGTGAAAGTCAAGAAGGTGGGAACAGTGGAAAATTTTGCGAGTGTATCAATTGGTGTTTTGTGATTTAGGATTTTTGTCGGAAGGCGATTTATGAGATAAATGGTGGTTGCAATTGCTTCGGGCCATTAATAAATAGGAACATTTGACTCAATCATAAGAGCCCTAGTGATTTCGAGTATGATCCGATTCTTATGTTCAGCAACACCATTTTGTTGAGGGTATCAGGACAAGTGGTTTGATGGATAAGACCTTTTTTCTTACAGAAATTTTCCATATGATGATTTATGTATTCTCCTCCATTATCAGATCGAAGAATACAAATCTGTTTTTGGTATTGTGTGTTGATCAATTTGTAAAATGAGGTGAACTTTTCAAAAACTTCAGATTTGTGTTTAAGAAAGTACACCCAAGTCATACGGGTACAGTCATCAACAAACAATAAAAAATATTGATACCCATTTGGACTCGGTTCTGGAGATGGACCCCACACATCAAAATGGATTAATGAGAAAGGTTGTGATGCAACTGTATTATTTAACGGATAGGAATGTTTATGACTTTTGGCTAGAATACAACTGTTGCAATGAAACTGACATGATTTATTGAATAATTTTGGAAAGAGAATTTTGAGATACCCCCAAGATGGATGTCCCAAACGACGATGCCACAACCATGCCTGCCTGTCCACTGTCCCATGAGCAAGCGTA